AAAAAAAAAAAAGAAAAATAAAAGAGTGTTACCCAAGCTGTCCATTGTTCAATTATTGGATTTTTTTTTTTTCTCCCTGGTACCTAATAAGCAGTCTGTAAGGAGACATTTTAAGACTGGACAAATATGTTGTTCTTCAATATTTTCTTTACAGTGAACATTCATTGATGTTTGTTCTTGCTTGAACCAGCCTTGACTATGATGGTTGCAAAATGATGTTTTTTGAGTCAGGGCCTTGCTCTGTCACCCAGGCTGGAATGCAGTGGCGTAATCTCAGCTCACTGCAGCCTCAACCTCCTGGGCGCAATCTGTCCTCCCACCGCAGCCTCCCAAGTAGCTGGGACTACAGGTATGTGCCACCACACCCAGCGAATTTTTTATTTTTTGTTGAAACAGGGTTTTGCCATTTGCCCAGGCTAGTCTTGAAATCCTGGGCTTAAGTGATCCTCCTGTTTTAGCCTCCGAAAATGCTGGGATTACAGATGCAAGCACTGCACCCTGCTCTCAAATGATACCGTTCTGACTACAGCATCATGTTCTGATGTGAGCAAGAGAGCCTTCTCTTTCTTCCCACATATTTATTATCTGTGTGAACTCACTAACGACTAGTTTACGATGGTTTTAAATCAGTTACTGTATTTATGTTTGTGCTCACATTGTCCTAGGTTTGGCCAGTGAGAGTTCCTCAGGCTGGCTCCTGGGCCCATCACGTTTTCGAGCATTTCCTTACTTTCCGAAATAAGATGCTCAGGCTCCTCCTGTTCTTTCCCTGCCCCAGCCATCATTCAGGATCCCCAAGGAGTCTTTGTTTCTTTTAGTGTGGAAGGTATTAAAGGGTGCTGGGCATGTCCATTGCCACAACAATGTCTTTGCTTTTTGGCCCTTTTTGTGGACAGTTAGGAAATAGATGCATAAATACACTCATACAGAGATAGTCTAGAATGAAGACCTACATCTACATACGTACACACGCAAGCACATAGCATGCATATAGAAATCACAGTTCACATGAGTGGCTCCAGTTCCATTGCGCTCTGCAAGTTCTGCTGTAACTCTCCATTCTGTGTTTGTACATCCTTTCTTCAAAGGTTAGTTAGCACCCTGGCTCCTGGCACAATCAAACATTTACTCACTTGCTCATTCCTATGAAACATCTAAAGTTTTACTTTTTGGAGACGGAGTTTCATTCTTGTCACCCAGGCTGGAGTGCAGTGGTGCAATCTCAGCTCACTGCAACTTCGCCTCCCGGGTTCAAGTGATTCCCCTGCCTTAGCCTCCCAAGTATCTGGGATTACAGCCGCCTGCCACCACACCTGGCTCATTTTTGTATTTTTAGTAGAGACAGAGTTTCACCATGTTGGCCAGGCTAGTCTTGAGCTCCTGACCTCAGGTTATCCACCCACCTTGGACTTCCAAAGTGTTGGGATTGCAGGTGTGAGCCACCACGCAGGGCCTAAAATAGTTTATTCTTAATTAGACTACAGTTAGTTATGATAGCTACTTAAAATAATTCAGTATCACCCCTTCCAGACCCAGTGTTAACTTTTGGTGAACATCCTTCTAGATTTCTGAATATATACCTATAGATAAATATATACAGTTTTATAAAATTGTAATCATACCGTGTATACATTTCTGTAGCCTGACTTTTCCCCAACTAATTAACATATTAGCATCTTTCCATAACATCTCATACAACATCTTTTTGTCCACAAAAGAAATCCATAGCATATTTTGTAATGGCTGCAGAATAAGACCATAATTCAGTTATTGCACCTTGATTTTAAAAGGCATCAGTTTTTCGCTATTATATATAAAGGTGGCATCAACATCTTTGTAACTAAATCTTAATTATTTCCTTAGGATAGAAGTGGAATTACTGGGCAAAGGGTATGTATATTTTTCTGTCTTTCTGAATGGCTGTATTTGTGCTCTGGCCAGCAGTTTTGGAGAGTGCTGGTTTTCTAGACCAATGTTTCTCAACTGTGGCTGCACATCAGAATCATTGAGGGTACTTTTAAAAGCAGTGATACCCAGGACCAGCTCCCAGAGATTCTGATTTCATGGATCTGGGGTGTAACCCAGGATTTATAGTTTTTAAAAGCTCTCCAAGAGATTTTACATGCGGCCAGTTTGATAGGTGAAAGTGGTATTTCATTATTTTGATTATAATTTTCTTCTGAAATTGTTTCAGGCATTCAGATTTGGGAGAAGTAGCCCCAGAAATAAAAGCATCAGAGAGACGGACAGCTGTGGCCATTGCAGGTAAAGTTGGATGAATTGGATGTGGTCCCACTCTGGAGCTGAAGTATTTCTTCTGTCCCCGTGGGACTCTGGCTTCCAGCCCCTCCCTGAATTTGGGATTGTGCACCTCAAAAATGAATAAGCTTAAAGCTTTGCCTTTTATTTTTCCTTTTTTTTTTTT